CGAACACGCCCGTTTTGATAGTAACACTGTTTTGATGATGTTCTCTGCTTGTTGCATTCATTCACTCAACAACGCTGGCTAGCTAGAGTAGCACTAGTGGGGACAATCGTTTTGGAAATAGGCAAAAGGGTATCTGTGTTATCCAGTTACAAGTCTCCTCAGTGGCAGCAAGTCTATTGAGTTTTCTTCGACCATGAGCGCTACCGTGGAAAAACCCGACTCTTCAGCCGCCGCTGCTGCACTTCCTGCGGTTCAACATAAACCTGTTGAGTGTTCGGGTGACGCCGCAGAAGCATTAAGCGTGTACAGAGAGAGAGTCAGGGAACTGAAGACTGAGCAAAAATGCAAGCCAGACATGATCGCCTACAAAGAGCTGCGAGGCAAATTTGTACCCACCAGACGACACGGCGAGATTCCTGGGGTTCCCGTGGGCCTGTGCCTTGAAGGAAAAGGAGAAGCTGCCATCCTTGGGATTCACCAAAGTATCCTCAGTGGTATTGACTCTATCAAAGGTGAACCCTGCTACGCCATTTCTGTCCAGGGTAGGTACACAGATAACGAAGAGGCAGACGATGGTACCATTTATTACACTGGGGAGGGCGGACAAGACAAGTCTAAGAAACACGTGAAAGACCAAGACTGGCAAAATGCTGCTAACGCATCGCTGATTGCTTCCAAAGAGTCAGGCACACCAATTCGAGTTATACGCCGAGCCAACAAACGATACTATTACCTTGGCTTGTATAAATGTCATGACTTCTCTTACGACAAAGGCAAGGATGGCTTCAAGGTATTCAGATTTGAATTGAAGCCACTTTTCCCAAATCAAGCCGCAGGATTACGTTCCTTTCCCGTGGATTCCAAGCATACCAGGCGATCGTCATCGTCATCACTTGGCACCAAACACGCCGACAAGATACCACGCAAGAAACAACAACCTACAAAGCATCCAGCAGTTCGTCGTTTGCGCAACAAGCCACAGCGCAACCTAGAAGATCTTCTTATGAACAACAAGCCACAGCGCAACCTAGAAGGTCATCGTATGAACAACAAGCCACGCACAACCAAGAAGATCCTTTTACGAACAGCTAGCTACGGCACAACCCAGAAGGTCGTCAGGTCCTCCTCAACAAAACGAATTCCCGCCAAAGGTTGGCCCAGAGGATGCGTTCAAAGGGTTTCAAGTAGATTGCTATCGCTATGGTGATTGGCAGCAAGAATATCACCAACAACACGCATTTCGAGTTATGCCCCCTGTTATTCATGGTCTCTTATTGGTTGAGAATACACTCTATTCAGCGGCGCCGGGACCTGTTTGGTTGCCTTACCTGAAGTTCCTATATTGCCAGATTGCCGTGAGACGTAGAGATCACTAAAACGATCCTGTTACATTATCATCGTATGCGCGTGTTGCGTCACGGCGAGGGTCTTCTAGCCATTAGGAATACGCTCCTTTTGCTTTAATGTATTTCGTAGGCTGCCCTGTTGACCGATCCTTCGGCAAGTGGGCTTGATTGAATCTTTCAACTCTTCAGAAATAAGTCAGTCCTTGAGTTTGGTGTTTCGTTTCCCTTTCGAGGTAAGAACTCCTATTGTCTTTCCCCTTTCCCTCAGTTTCGAGCACCTGGAGTCCCATTGCTGACTTGGCTTGCGTTATCATGATCATCGCACAGGAAGTCGGCATCATCAAGCATGTCAAGTTTCTCCGCCAGGATTCTTGAAGACTCCTTCGCAGCATTTCTTCGGACTGAGGTCCAGTTTGGCGCGGCATGGTCCCTCTCCTCGTGCTGTTTGCCTGTGCCCGTTGGTTGGTTCCATTGCTGTTTCTGTTTCCAATCAAGGAGGTGCTGTCTTTGTTTCCATTTGCAATGTAAAAGTCTTCATGTTGGCGTGGCTTGGGGAGCCCGGTTGTTGTGGCGAAGTACGGCGTCAGAGGGAGTTGTGTGCGAAGATTGTACTGTAGGGTTCGTTTCATCCTTTTCCCCTTACCATATTCTAAAGTATGCTCTGAGTACAGTGGTACCGTACCATGGTACCGGTACTTGTGGTACCTTCATGAGAACGGCGATTGCATCAATAGTCTTCCGGTACGTTTGCACGTTTGTCCACGTGGTTGGAGTTACGTTGATTTGTCACGGAATTACCGGTAGCAATTCTGGCCTCTAGTTGAACTTCAATACCAAACAGCCAGTTCTCTCTTATATTCTCTACATGTACCGGTACTTTGCAACTAGCAAGTCTAAAAAGCATTAACCGATTGCCGTGGAAGCTGCACAAGCAGTGTCACTGGGTATTTTTGAACTTAGAGAAATTTTACTCACCCAACTATGGTAAATTACTAGCACATTTTCACAAAAAATCAACACCACCGCCTCAATCACCATGACAACTTGCCTTGTCGATATATCAGTAACTATCCATAGCTAGACAACAAGTGAATACTCTGCATCTATCTACTCCTTCTCCTCTTTGCAGCCGTACCCTTGGCTTGGTTGTGGCATCTCCCTGCTAGTTGCTAGCTTAAGCTTTATGAAAAGGAGCTGTTTTGGGGCCGGTTCATCATCCTGACTTGTTGAGCATGAAGACCACTACTGCTGGCCACAATACCTTCTAATATCTTTCTCTTACATGTATATTGGAAGGGGATGGCTTCAACAAGCATCAAATTTGGACTGGTGGTTGTGGAGATACCCATTTCTTTAGCTTCATGTGAGACTATGAATCTCCGCCAGGGAACTCAGTTGTAGGAACACAAGAGCTGGGAGGGAGATCTCTGGTTGATGAAGATCTCCTCCACTGGCTGAAAGGCCAGCTCAAAAGAGCTGGATCAATGCTACCCAATCACTACTTCAAAGTACTTGGGGAGCTGGTTACATTGCCCTAGCACATAGTACCACACAGGAATCTATCTACTGCAGGGCTGAGGGTGCTACTGGGTGTCAGGGGTTACTCTTTCATTACTATCTTTCTTACTATAAGCTAAAAACACCATTACCACGATTTCACTCCAGTTGACAGAACTGGCTCTTTTGGAGAGGATATCCTACTGTTGGAGATCCTAGGAGAGGACTGTTGGTCTGGAACATTCCATTGTATCTAGACTGAAGGCTATATGCTCTGGAACACATACACTCCAACCTCATCAATAAGATAACTCTATTCTTAGTCCAGTACTGGAGGTATCTTAACCGATTCAGCTACAGCAACACTGAGTTATTATCTTACAAGTAGCCCAATCTCAGTATCTTTCATATCTTATAGCCACTACCTGGTAGAAGCTTTTATTACATACCCTACTACTAACCATGCCCTGAGACAGTGAGGAGCCACCACCAAAGCTCAAGAAGGCAAAGGTGCAAAGCTAAAATTGATGAAACCAAAGATTCCGTGGTCGGGAGGCACCCTAAGATGCGGATATGGAGTACTTGGATGTAGATGGTGATGTGGTAGATAGTGGGTACTAGCTGCATTCAATCCCCGCATAGTCTTAGTATTAGCTTAGGATTTGAGACCTCAGTACTCGTAGCTTATCTTACTGGTTTGGGAAATCTGAGTGTCCGGGTTATCTAAACATTTCCAAAAAGTTGAGTACTCGGTATCTTAAACCCACTTATCTTAAGTGTGAGTGCGGAGTGTAGGCATGCCTCAGCTATATACAAATTGTCACATGGCTGCAATGCTGTGTGTACTGATTGACTGTACACGATCAAAAGCATTGTTTCCATCCGACTAAACCAGCACAGCTGTGGCGCACCCATAGAGGCTCCTATTGCTAATTTCATCGCTCCCCACCATTCGAGTCATCAAATGGGGGCGTCAACAAGCTTCTCTATGTCTGGGTCATTCCTCGACATTCCCACAAAACTGGGAGCATCTGGTTCCTCAGTTTGGACCTTGGCTGTGACCTAATACAAAGTCGGCAGCCCTCTTGAATACATCAAGGTGTCCATTGCTGGGTACCACTTGGAACAAAGGAAGGGACATCACACTTGTGATCTCAAACCCTCCAAAGTAGACGGCTGGCTCCAAAGCAAATGCATTGGGTTGCCATCGTTGTCCAAGAGAGAAAAGGTGTTAGGATCTAGGACGGACGTGGTGTGCGCAGAGGTACTTCTTGGGATGGACAATACACATCCACCTTGGGTTGGTCACTCGCGAAGGTGTGTGTGGAACATGTCTTGAGGCTATCTGCAGATACTCCCCATTCACAAGGAACCTATTGCACTTGGACGTCAGTAAGGGTCCCACTTGGTCTCCCCATACTTGCACCATAGCTTGGAATTGGCTTAGAAGCCATCTGTTTGTCTCCCCATAAAGCTCAGAGGGGCAGAGACAAACAGTCAGTAGTCACATTGGGATCAATACGTGGTTGGCAAAACGTTACAACACAGACATCTCAGGCAGAGATGAGTCTTTTGACACCACTGGTGGCAACAGACAAGTTGCAAATCACAAAACGGTATGCTTGAATCATGATGACAAATCTAGCAAGGGGACTTGTCATACGGTGCCATTTCCTGCGGAAGGTAGCCCCATTGTGGGCGGCATGCTACCCCGCAGACATGGGCGGTGCCTGGTTTCCTTGGGCTTGACCGGTGCAGCACGTACACTAGTCGCCCCATCAAAAATCCAGGTTGGGATTGGGCTTGGGCTTGCCCTTGAAGGCTTTGTCGTCTGCCATGGGAGAGTCCAAGGTGTCCCCGACTGCTGGGTCAGCTTCACTCTTGGAATCAACTACAGGCGGCGTCGAACCTATCAGGACTTGTCTGTCGGCATCAGGGAGCTTGCACCAGATTTGGCGGCCGGCGGGTGAAAGCTTGAACCAAGTTGTGCTTGGGAGTCCGAGGACTTGCTGCTCCTCACCATCGTTGAGATGGCCTTGTTCCTCATTGACATTTGCTAGGTTGGCTAGGTGGGAGTCGGGAACACGGCGGTTGACATCGTAATGGGTGGCGGCATTCTTCAGTGTCTCCTTGTACGCCTCGTAGGTGAAGCGCTCCTTGGGACCATGACGGCACATTCTTTCATGCTCACGGGATCTGATGTCGTTCAAGACTTGGACATCGGTGAAGGCACGCTGCAGGAACAGCTTCTGCATGCTGTCGCTGAGCTTGTCGCTGGGATCTCGGTGGCCATCATTGTAGTGGGTGATGGTCTCGTCAAACTTGATGACAAAGTCAACAGCAGAGCCTTCTCCCTGCTGAGTACTTTGCAGAACTCCTCGGATGAACCGATGGATCTATGCTGTCCTCCAGACCACAGTCAAGACAACCAATGTGAAGGTCATTGTGAAGTCTCACTTCCATGATGCTGATTGCTTTGCAATCCTGTGGAACTGATCCAGGATGCACATGCATCAGTAGCAGGCTCCCTGGACCATGTTGAGGTCCTTCATTGGCTTTCAAGTGTCTAGTACAGTCCAAGGCAAGCGAGGCAACCTGTTGACTTTGTCATCAAGTTTGTCGAGACCATCACCCACTAAAATGATGGCCACCGAGATACTAGCGACAAGCTCAGTGACAGTATGCAGAAGCTGTTCCTGCATCGTGCCTTCACCGATGTCAAAGTCTTGAACGACATCAGGTCCCTTGAGCATGAAATGATGTGACGTCATGGTCCCCAAGAAAGCTTCACTTACGAAGCCTACACGGAGACACTCAAGAATGCCGCCACCTACTACGATGTCAACCGCCTTGTTCCCGACTCCCACCTTGCCAACCTAGCAACTGTTGATAAGGAACAAGGCCATACCAACGATGGTGGGGATCAGCAAGTCCTCGGACTCCCAAACAAAATTTGGTTCAAGCTTTCGCCCGTCGGCCGCCAAATCTGGTGCAAGCTCCCTGATGCGGACAGACAAGTCCTGATATGTTCGACGCCGCCTGTAGTTTATTCCAAGAGTGAAGCTGTCCCAGCAGTCGGGGACACATTGGATTCTCCCATGACAGATTACGAAGCTTTCAAGGGCAAGCCCAAGCCGAATCCCAACCTGGATTTTGATGGGGCGACTAGTGGACGTGCTGCAATGCCGTCTAAGCCAACGAGGAAACCAGGCAACTGCCAGTCCTGGGGGTAGCATGCCCCCCACAAATGGGGCTACCTTCCGCAGGAAATGGCAACGTATGACAAGTCCCATTGCTAGATTTGTCATCATGTTTCAAGCATACCGTTTTGTGATTTGCAACTTGTCTGTTGTCACCAGTGGTGTCAAAAGTCTCATCTCTGCCTGAGATTTATGTGTTGTAACGTTTTGTCATCCACGTATTGATTCCAATTTGACTACTGACTGTTTGTTTATGCCCCTCTGAGCTTTTTGGGGAGACAAACAGATGGTTTCTAAGCCAATTCCAAGCCATGGTTCAAGTATGGGGAGACCAAATGATCCTAACGACGCCAGTGCAAAGGTCCTTGAGAAGGAGTACGGCAGAAGTCCAAGACACCACAACACCTTAGGATGACAACAGTGGATGTGTAATTGTCCATCCAAGAAGTCCCTGGTCTCACACAAGTCCTGACCTAGACTATACACTTCCTCGTGGACAACGATTGCACCCAATGCATACTGCAGCCGTGCTACTTGAGGTTTGAGAATCACAAGTGTGAATGACCCTCCTTTGTCAAGTTGTACTCAGCAATGGACACACCTGATGGAAGTTTCGAAAGAGGGGGCTGATTGGTAAGGTAGCACCAAGTTAAACTGAGAACACTAGATCCCCATTTTGGGGAAGGTCGAGGAATTACCCACGAAATAGAGAGCTGGTTACCCAGATACTCGAAGGGGAGATGAAAATAGCAAAGGAGCCTAGGTGACACAGCTGCATAGTCGGATAAAAAATGCTTCATCGGAATAAGTACAACCAGCATTTGCAGCAGGACAATAGTATAAGCGAGAGCATGC